TGGGGCGGCGTGTAAAAGTGTAAAAGCTTCCGGATGACAAAGACATCCTCCTGGGAGAGCCGCGTCCCCTCCCTCCCGCGCTACCCGCCCGCCCGTCGGCGACATCTTGCTCGGAGTGGCAAATTCGGGATTATACGGGGGGAACGTGGCGAGAGCGTCACGATATCAACCATCTGATGAAAGGCCGCGTCGTTAGTGACCGCCTTTGATGGGTTTTGAAATGGAAATAGCGGCAAGAAGGGGGGAAAGGAGTTTGAACGTGGAGGAGAGAACCGTGGGGGCGGCGGCGGCGGCAGCGGGGACGCCGCCTCCCTCTGGGGAGATTAACGCCACACGAGTCAGGCGTGTCAAGTGGGGGTGTGCGTTAGAAAAAGAAAAAACAGGTATGGAAAAAGAAGAAGAAATGCGGGGAAAAGACAAAGAAAGGCCTTTCTCCTCCCTTCTCTTTCCTTCAACTCCCAATGTCTCAGATCATCATCGCCGCCCTTATTCTGTCAGCCGCCCGCTTGATGCTGGCTGTCAGAGGTGCGCATCTCCTCCTCGCCTTGTTTTCTTGCCTCTTTCCTTCCTCTGCATATGCACAAGTAGGCATGATGGCGGCGCGAAGTGGTGGGGGCCACCGGAGTTGTGTGCTGATCCCGACACACCTTTTGAGGGGGGTGGGGTGGGGGGGATCAGGAAGCAAAAGCTGAGAGGAGAGGAGCTCAGGGGAAAAGTGAGCTTCATGTGGGAGAAAGAGTGTGATGGAGGCGCTCGGGTGGACATGACACATGCTCGTGATACACTCGACGCTTTCATACAACTCAAGTAAGACGCCGGATCACACCGCTTGTCTTGTTCGACCTGACAGTTGCTTGTTTCATACTAACGGTTGGCAACTGATGTGAATCCATCCGTCGACCCACCTTCAGCAGCGCTTTTTCTCATTAGGCTGGGAGGCGATCTGGAGTACGGCGGTACCTCTAATTACGAACGACTCTTTGTACGAAATTTTCAAGTTACAAAACGCTTCAACAGGAAAATATTGCCTTTTGTTACTGAAGATATTTCAAGATACGAAAGGTAAAAATGCAGTATGGGCTGCTACTCGTAGCTCCGAGTTTCCTGAACGCAACATACTTCTAGCTGCTCTGCCATTGGCTATTACCTAGTCCGGCGATCGCTCACGACGCTGATGTTTGCCTCGGACATTTTCGAAGGATGGTTAAAAGCAGACAAAAGCAAACGTCCTTGGATCAGTTCATCACAAAACGCCAGCTAAAATCCACTTCTGAGAGGGAACATGAACTAAAGAGGGCAAAAAACGATGAGGACACAGTTCAAAGTTAAATGACTTTGTTAAATGAATCATTTTTATCCTTCACTCTACTCTTTGTTGGCACAACTCTCATTTATTGTGCAATAATCTAATTGTAACATATATTTGTTACATATTTGGATGCATTTTTATGCTTTCGAAAACATTTATGTCTGAATTTCGGGGTGGCTTGGAACGGATTAGGGCATTTACATGGAAAGCGCGTCTCTACTTACAAAATTTTTCAAGTTAAGAAATTTCTTCCAGAACCAATTAATTTCGTAAGTAGAGGTGCCACTGTATATCCCCGATGACCGGTTTCCAGTTTGAAGATATACCGCTGTTTTAAAAAATTCAGGCGTTCAAAATGGGTAAACCTTTATATGACCCCTCCCCGTCCCTTATTGGTACGAGCAGTCAAGTGACCCGGATGACGTTCCCCCTCATCTATAAAGTCAGCCCTTTCTGGAATGTTTTCCGGAACCGCAGCTTGATAGAGGACGGATACGCAAAACATGCTTACAAAGAATGTCTGTTTTTGGAGGCATATGAGAAGACCACCCAGCAATCACTCTTGGACAAATTCAAGTTAGGCTCGGTATCTTAGCACAATGCGGTTTGGAAATGCACGTTTGCAAGCCGCAACGAGACTTGGCGTGTGTAGAATTGGTGAACTGACTACTATAGCCTCGCTACCAGGGCAGCTAACTTGCTAGCTGTTAGCCAGCTAGCAAGTTGTTTTTTTTTTTCCACCTGCCCCACTCTCTTTTACCGTCTAAGAATATCAGGAGGACATCTGCTGTCAGGCTTCCAGTTTTGTCTATTCCATTCCATCCAAGCCAGAATATTCGAAGAGACTGAATAAAATACAAACATTCGAGGAATTGGGCGTACACATTCGTCTGGTTTTGGTGTGAATTATGCTTAAAAAAGAAACCTGTCTCTCAGTGGGGTTTTATTTTCCGGTTAAATCAAGTTTTTGATCGATCGGCTTCAGTACGCAACAATTCAAGTTTGATTCAACGTCACCGTCATGAGATCTTTCAAGCTCGGCGTGCGGTGGTCACGTGGCGTGTCACCTTCCTGCTGACATGTTTTTCCTGCAACACTTGAAGGCATCGCGGGCCGTTGCATCACTTGGAGAGGCGATGAAAAAGAATGGCTAAATAACGGCCCAGCAGGCGACCGCTCGCAGAGATGATACAACCTCGTAACACACAAACTAATGGCCAGCTGTCTTATAATGAGGCCTGCTCGTTACTATACACCCCCCACAACACCAACCCACCCACCACCAGCCGCCCCTAACCGCCTTCGTCCCATTGCCATCATCGGCGCGGGACATCACAAAGGGACGGGGGGGGGGGGGATGGTAGCATCGGGATATTTCTCGCCCCGAACCCTCTCGGTTAACGAAGCGAGAGCCGCCTAATTAGAGCTCAAAAATTCATGAGGGTCCTCATTAATACTGAATATCTGTTGTGGGCTGCAACTTCAAAATAAGCCCAGGCGTATGCAGATGGGAAAGGTGCGAAGGGAGAGACGCAAGGTGCGCCGAGATAAAGGTGGCGGCAAGGTGGGAGAAAAGGGCGTCGGAGGTGGGGGGGGGCGTCAAAAGGAAGGCGAGGGACGGCGAGGGTTGAGGGGGACGAGATGAGAGGGAGCCAGGGGACCCTAGAGAGCTGTACCTGGAGAAGAGTTGTAATGTTGGAGGACTCTCCGGGGAGAATATGCACGGTCTTTAATGAGGAGGGTGGAGCACGGCGGCGAGAATAACAGCAAAAAAAAAAAAAAAAAAGGAAAGAAAGAAAAAAGGAAAAAACATTGTGCTCTTAATCCCTCGCTGAGGGGGGAAGAGAAGCTTTCAAGCAGGTACGCCGAGGTATCACTTTTCAAGTCTCCTTCTGCTCCACATAAAAAGATCCACCAACAAGCAGCGTTTGCCTTTGAGATCATTCCGTGTATTCCGCGTCGGATTTAGCGGCGAGGGGGAGGACGGCTGCTCTACATTAACTATATGGCAACCCCTCATTTGCCTCGCACTTTTCTTAAGTCACCTCAGTTTTTCGGGTGTTTTTCTTTTTGGATCACTGCGTCTCGCTTAGGTCGGGAATTAGGAGGGCCTCCGAGTAAAATATGAACGCTTTTTTTTTCTTTTTCTCCATCGGCCATGCTTCGCCGAGACACTGTGTTAAAAACTCCCATTTGTCACCCATTAGCATTGCCCATCTGTCGAGTACAAGTGGTTCCAATTTAGCGGCAATCACAGAAAATCTCGGGGACAAGTCGGTCTTCGAAATGGCCGAAAGGAGCCGAAAACAGCCTCGTGTCTTTTTGTGAAGGCTTCTTCAGACCTTGTTTGTTGAGCTACTCGTGATACGCGTGCCCGCCAAATATGTTTTCAAAGTGAAATTCGCTTCTCAACTCAAATGAAATTCAACTTCTCAAGCGTTTTATTGGTGGCCACATGCATTCGTAAAAACTGAAATTTTTTAACACCTGGTTCAAATCGTGTAGCAATTGGACAAAACCGCTCCTGACTAATCTGTCTTGAGAGGACGCTTGGAAACGGCCCAAACTGAGACTAAAATGGAAACGCAGACTGGAGCTGTGTCGAAACTTATAGGCCAGGGTGACCTGAAGGCTACTCCTCCCTCATGTAGCCTCCATCGACCACCTAAACTGTGGCGACTTTGGACAGGCCTGCATTTCAAAGTAAACTCCGCCCAGTCCGAATGCGGGGTGCCCCCGGGTACCTCCATGTTTTAATGGTAGATGAAAAGCGGAGTCGAGCGGGGCAATGTCAGCTCCAAAAGTGGGCTCTGAAGCATCCTTTGCTCAGGGCCCGTCTCCATGGAAACGAAGGCCAGATTTGGAGAATGGATAATAATTTGGGTGGCCGAAGTTGCGACATGTTGCCGAGAAAGTCGGCCTTTGGAGGACACGCAGCTTACGAATTTGGACACAGCTTGTATTTCTTTTGCGAAGGCTTCTCTAGAATTTTCTGTGGATTTCCTCGTGATCGCCATGTCAACCAAATTTTGTGAAACTGACTGTAGGGACAGAATTTTTGAAGATCACTTTATCAGAGTTTTGCTTCACGTGCCCACAAGCAAATTACAGTCGCCCCGTCTGATCACAATCAAACAAAATCCTATCAATGTATTTCGACTCAAGACTTTTTGTCAACTTATGATGACACAAAATCCCGGCTGCTGCTGTGAGGTCTGAATTTTTGTCACTTACCTTATTTGAGTTTTATGTTTTAATGAGGAATGCAAAGACAATTCGGCGCCATATTTTGAAACAAGCGTGCGACACGACGGCGATATTTGGTGAAAAACGTGGAATTTTTCAAACATCCTAATATAAAAAAAGCCAAGTCGCAATCAAACCTTTTTTCCAGCCAGACTTCACTTACCACTTGATGTCAAAAAGTGGACCTAAATCCTGTGAGTGCACAATATGTGTGTGTTGTGCTTACCTGACTGGAACGGGAGTGTCCCTTTAAGATGTCCCCTCCCGGGCATCTACCCTACAGAATAAACAGATGGGCACTAGATGGGTCCCGAGTGGGCCTCATCAGACCCATGCGGGACCCGGCCCCCCACACCCCTCCCCGCGCTGCACGCGTGTCTGGAGACGGTAAACAAACAAGAAGCCCGAGCGCAGGTCGCCGGCACTAGTGGGACGCCAACGTTTTTGCTTTTTTTTTTTTTTCCTCCTTCTATTGTGCCACACATAGGATGTTATATAAATAATCATGTAAACATCCAGTTTGTCCATTCACACACAAAACAGACCTTGAAGGACGTCCTAGCCGTCCACGTTGTGGAAACTTGGGAGGCCATTTCCCGGGGTGGTCTTGCGGACAGGAGGGGTGACAACAGGGAGTCTCAGATCCGATGCCGCTTGTGATGACCTGCACGACATCAGATGTTTTGAGAACCCGTGACGCACCCGCGACAAACCCCCTTTTCATCCCCCTCTTCTTCTTCTCCTTGCATCCATTTGTGTTTGTGCGGTCAAATTTAATCAAGATGGCATCTGTTGGTGTTTAACGTGAGTAATTGTCCTGTACAGTGGCTGCGTGTGTAAGCGTGTACATGAGTGCGCGCGGGTGTGTGTATATGCGCATGTGTGTGTGTGTGTGTGTGTGTGAGGGGAGTGTCTTCTGGCTAATTCTTGCATTTGCCATTCACTGCATAATTTCGCACCATATGTTGTCGTCGTCCAAAAGGAAAAAAAAAAAAAAAAAAAGATGGTCTTCCTTTTTTGTGGTCTTTTAATTTGAAGCACAACACGTTATTGATTAAAAAACTGTGGAACTTTCCTTCTCATAAATTGAATGGCCAGAGTTTGACGTTGTGCGTCCATGTGTGTGTTGGGCCACATAACAATGCCACGCTAGCAACGTGGAAATGAATTTCCACCTTGACGACAAATCGAGATTTGATCTAATCCCGCCGTGGATCTTCCCCGCACTGTGTGAAGACATGCAGCCTACATATGTGTGTGCGTGCGTGTGTGTGTGTGTGTGTGTGTGGTCAAATAGCCTACACGTAAGCGTGACAGTAGAGACGGCATGCGAGTGTGTGTGTGTGTGTGTGTGTGTGTGCGTGAGGCCATTGTGTACTTGAAAGGGATTCTCTTGAGGGTTTTAATTACGCTACTGCTTAACTTGGCAGCAGAGTAAGAGAGCAAAGACGAGCGCGTCATTTGGGCTGAAGCCTCAATAAATCTTCGCCGGGCTCAGCGAAGACGCGCCCGGCGACCCGCCAAAGACCGGCACGGACCTCCCACAGGGAGGCTTGGGTCAGCCCTCAAAGCAGGCACCTGGACCTCCCGGACGCACTCTGAGATGCTCACTTTGCAGCCGCGTTGAAAACGTGACAGGCACATGTCAGCATGTTGTGCGTACGTGCGGGCGTGTGTGTGTGTGTGTGTGTGTGTGTGTGTGTGTATGTATGTTTCGTATTTGTGTGTTTGAATGCACCAATCTTGTGATGATCGAAGTGTAATGGTCAGACAGATCGTGATATTGTGCGTGTGCGACTGTAGAAACGTTCAAGATCACGTGTGTAGATGGACAGATGTTGATTTCATGTGTCGCTCGAGATATACTGCTTCTTCTTATTTGTGTGCGCACACTTTTTTGCCCTCGCAGCCCTCGACTGTAACATCAAAGTGAGAAATTGTGTCGCTCGGCGGCGGCAAGGTTGCGAAAGTCAAGATAGATGCGTGCCCCCGGACCCCGAGCGCCGCACATCAAAAGTGGCAGTCCTGCTAATACGATCACAGTGGGAGTTCACAATGCCAGCTAACCGGCTCTTTAAAGGGGGGGGGGGGTGCTACGGGCGGTATGGGGTTCTTATCCGCCATCGCCTGGAAGCGGCGCGCAGGCTCGGTGGAGGCACGCATCGATAAACTCATAAACAAACGGTAATTACCAGGCCATTAGAGTCACAAGCTCACAAACACGCGGCCTCGTAATCCCGCGCGCTGGAGGGACGGCGGCGGCTCGTCGTTTTCCACGCCATCCGCCGCGCTACAACACCCCAGCCAAGCACTTAATGATTTGTGACTAAGGGTGGGGATGCGGGGGGTAGCAAACAAAGCATTTTGTCATAAGGAGCTTACGTCCTCGATGGAGACGCCAACAAGCGGCCCTTGTTTGAATTTTGCTTCATTTACAGGGAGGATGGAGGCGGAGTGGTCGGGGTCGAAGTTGAGGTTTCATTTGAGGTGGATAAACAACAATTCCTCTACTGGGACTCATCGGCGGCATTAATTGCTTCATTACAAATCACGCGCACTAACTTTCAACGTCACGCCGCGCTTCTCGTTCTTCTCTTTGTCCTCACCGGTCGACCCGAGGCGGCGGACTGACTAGTCGACTGGACTAGTCTGTTACGAGCTCGACTAGTGGCCAATCTCGTGCTTTGACGAGGAGGCAGACCCACTTGCTGACTGAAATGAATCCATCACCTTAATTGACTGAAAACGGTCTTCTATTTCTGTCTGCGATGCTTTGGGAAGTGAAAACCGCTTGGCTCGAAGCAGGATTCTGAACGGTTTCTCAGACAGCAAGCACACAGGAGTGGTTGAAAGGATGATTCGGTTTTCGACGATTTTGTTCAGCAATATTTTGTACCGTTGCATCCAAAACACTTCAACAGACAAGGCACATTGGTTTTCACGAGACGAGCATTTCACAACAACTCAAGGTAACAATGCTCCCGGTCATAGTACAGGCACATCCTGTCGAAAGACAGGCCTTCAAAATAAAAGCACCCCGTATAATCACAGTTTCGACCGCACTTTATTGGTGTCTTATTTAACAGTCAGACTCAATGCCGAATATACTTTTAACGATTTGATATATAGTTTGAGTTGCACTTTTTAATTATTTTGTAATTTCTTTTTAATCATTAGACATGACAAAAGAAAGATTAGGAGTCCATGATGCTGTTCATGCTAAAATCTGCTTCTCGCACAACAAACTCATCTGACTGACCAACGAACTGTTGACTCCAAATAATTTTGTGCCTGTCGCTATATTATATTTCAGGCAGAATTCCCAAGCTGGAATGACAACTCGAACGCCCAGCAGGATGCAAGCGGGGGGAGAGATCCCGCACTTCATTCATTATACACAGCCCAGAGCTCTGCTACGTGTCGCGCAACAATCCCTTGCGCCCTTTTTTGAACGCGGCTTTCCTCTGACATTTTGGACATTAATATTGCAGGGAATCCATAAATCCCGAACTCCATATGCCTTCAAAAGCGACTGGTCAGGTCCTCTAACCTGTGCGCACTTTTGTGTGTGTGTGTGTGTGTGTGTGTGTGTAGATCCCGCACTTCATTCATTATACACAGCCCAGAGCTCTGCTACGTGTCGCGCAACAATCCCTTGCGCCCTTTTTTGAACGCGGCTTTCCTCTGACATTTTGGACATTAATATTGCAGGGAATCCATAAATCCCGAACTCCATATGCCTTCAAAAGCGACTGGTCAGGTCCTCTAACCTGTGCGCACTTTTGTGTGTGTGTGTGTGTGTGTGTGTGTGTGTGTGAGAGAGAGAGAGAGAGAGAGAGAGAGAGAGAGAGAGAGAGAGAGAGAGGGGGG